ACACGTCTAACAACTACCGCCACTCGCCACTAAGTGGCGGTGACATCATCACGACGCTTGTGCCAGGCTATGTGCACGTTAAGGCCACGTGAAGTGTCGACCGCCCGCTGGCAGGAGGTCACGGGACAGACCTAGGTGCCATGGGTGGACTGACTGAGATGACTGGCCCGATGCACCACCTGTGCCCCCTACTGTGCCTACTTGCTGTGTTTTAGCCACCCGGCGCTCCGCTCATTGTTGTGAGCGTCGCTCCTCTGTGCACACGTACAGACACACGCACACGTACAAATACACACACATACACGTACAAATACACACGTACAAACACACACGTACAAACACACACGTACAAACACACACGTGCAAACACACGCACACGTGCAAACACACCCACAAACACACACACGTACAAATACACACGTACAAACACACACACGGACAGAAGCGACCCAGAGTTAGTTTTATACCAAATATAATATTTAAAAGGGGTTGAAAAAAATAATTATCAAACAACTCCCCCACCACCCCCATCTCTATTCGCCCCGTGAATTTTCCGCAACGCACCACAGATCCTTAGCCACATATCACGACCTGGCATGCCTCCGTGGTGGCGGTGGGGGTGGTTGCTGTTGTTGTTGATATCGTTACCCCATCCAAGAAATGTCCAAGCTCATCCCCGCTCGGCTTCTGAGACGTGACCGACTGATTTCCATTCACTCGTTCATCCACAGAATGCTCCAGTGACTCAGCGCACCGATACCGCATTCATTACCTCCAATAGCAGTTTTGTGCTTGTTTAATTATATTATCAAACCCGATGGCTGATTGCCGCTAATTGATGTGCAATGCAATTAAGACCTCAACTCGTCCATTAGTCTAATCAGTGCTTTGAGTTAATGAGACGTCGTCGTGTGCCGTCTTGGCTCGGTAATTTTGTTTCGCGAACGTTCACCGTATTCTCCGCAATTATACGAACCACTGCGCCCTCGACTTTCACATTTGAAAATACGCGGTGGAGGGAGTGGTGGTGGGGGTTTAATCCAGAATACGGACTAATTATTGTAATCCCAGCTGCTAAGCAGAGAGGGAGAGAGACCCCCACTGTGTTTGACAACCAAGATGAAGCAAGGTTTGTACAATCCACGTGCGCGCAAACCTTTGTCAACACCACTGCTGGATGACGCCTATCTCCACGGACTGCAGGTGACCTTGGGGGGTTATTTGACCACACCTCATCGCAATGGTCAGCGCGGGTTGGTGGTAGCGGGGAGCATGGACGTAGTAGCATACAATACAGTACAACACGTTGAATTTCGCTTGCACGTGACATTCTAACTGCCCTCTTTCCACAACAGACGGAGTTCACCACTGAGTGGGCAGTGGCGTCACCACGGCGCTTGTGCCAGGCTAGGTGCACTCGAGAGGGCCACGTGAAGTGTCGTGAAGGTTCGCTTGTCACGGGACGACCCACACACCACAGTGGACAGACACACAGTGGGACAGACCCCACACACAGTGGGACAGACACACAGTGGGACAGACCCACACACACAGTGGGACAGACACACAGTGGGACAGACACACACAGTGGGACAGAACACACAGTGGGACAGACCCACACACACAGTGGGACAGACACACAGTGGGACAGACCCACACACACAGTGGGACAGTACACACAGTGGGACAGACACACACACACACAGTGGTACAGACACACACAGTGGACAGACACACACACACACAGTGGACAGACACACACAGTGGGACAGACACACACACACAGTGGGACAGACACACACAGTGGGACAGACACACACAGTGGGACAGACACACACAGTGGGACAGACACACACAGTGGGACAGACCCACACCCACAGAGAGTGGGACAGACACACACAGTGGGACAGACACACACACACACAGTGGACAGACACACACAGTGGGACAGACACCCACACACACAGTGGGACAGACACACACACACACAGTGGGACAGACACACACAGTGGGACAGACCCACACACACAGAGAGTGGGGACAGACCCCACACAGAGTGGGACAGACACACACAGTGGGACAGACCCACACACAGTGTAGACAGACACACACAGTGGGAGCAGACCCACACACAACGTGGGGACAGCACACACAGTGGGACACACACCCAGTGGGACAGACCACACAACGTGGGGACAGACACACACAGTGGGACAGACCACACCACACAGTGGGACAGAGACACACACAGTGGGACAGACACACACACCAGTGGGACAGACACACACACACACAGTGGACAGACACACACACACACAGTGGGACAGACACACACAGTGGGACAGACCCACACACACAGAGAGTGGGACAGACACACACACAGAGTGGGGACAGACACACACAGTGGGACAGACCCACCACACAGAGAGTGGACAGACACACACACAGAGTGGGACAGACACACACAGTGGACAGACACACACAGTGGGACAGACACACACAGTGGACAGACACACACAGTGGGACAGACACACACAGTGGGACAGACACACACAGTGGGACAGACCCACACACACAGAGAGTGGACAGACACACACAGTGGGACAGACACACACACCACACAGTGGGACAGACACACACAGGGGACAGACACACCACACACACAGTGGGACAGACACACACAGTGGGACAGACACACACACACACAGTGGGACAGACACACACAGTGGGACAGATCCCACACACACAGTGGGACAGACACACACAGTGGGACAGACACACACACACACAGTGGGACAGACACACACAGTGGGACAGACCCACACACACAGAGAGTGGGACAGACACACACACAGAGTGGACAGACCCCACACACACACACAGTAGGATAGACCCACACCCCACAACATTGGGACAGACACACACAGTGGGACAGACACACACACACACAGTGGACAGACACACACAGTGGGACAGACACACACACACACAGTGGGACAGACACACACAGTGGACAGACCCACACACACAGTGGGACAGACACACACAGTGGGACAGACTACACCCACACACAGTGGGACAGACCACACAGTGGACAGACCCACACACACAGAGAGTGGGACAGACACACACACAGAGTGGGACAGACCCGCCACACACACCACAGTAGGATAGACCACACACACACACATTGGGACAGACACACACACACACAGTGGGACAAACCCACACACACACACACAGTGGGACCAGACCCACACACACACACAGTGGTTGACCTGACCCTAAACCTAATAAAACATTGCCAACGCTATCCCACCCCATGCTCAGCACTGTAACGCCATGCCAAATGTCTAGCACTAACTCACCCCACGCCGAGTGTTAAGTCACCCAATGTCTAGCACTAACTCACCCCACGCCTAGCGTTAATTCACCCAATGTCTAGTAATGTCCTGCACGTTTCGCCAGTGATGACACCGGGCATCATCAGGCGGCAGCCAGATGAAATCTGAGGCCGGCGGCGTATCACGGTTCGGTTCCGGTTCCGGCACGGCTAACACCCCCAGTGGAGCAACGACAACAAAACCCCACCCCGTGCCGTAAGGGAACCGTGCTGGCTCGGATGTAGGCAGTGGGAAAAAAAGGTGTGTTCGCGTCTTTCTAACTAAACGACTAACTCATTTTTTACCAGGTAAGGATCACTGAGTCACCCAGCGCCTAGCGGTGAACCACCCAGAGTCTAGACCGGACTTAGCTCATCACTGAGTCACCCACCACCCAGAGTCTAGACCTGACTTAGCTTATCACTGAGTCACCCACCACCCAGAGTCAAGACCTGACTTAGCTTATCACTGAGTCACCCAGCACCCAGAGTCTAGACCTGGACTTAGCCTATCACTGAGTAGCACCCAGCTCCTAGCGGTAAACCACCCCGAGTCTAGACCTGACTTAGCTTATCACTGAGTCAACCCACCACCCAGATTCTAGACCTGGACTTAGCTTATCACTGAGTCACCCCAGCGCCGAGCGGTAAACCACCAGAGTCTAGACCTGACTTAGCTTATCACTGAGTCCCACCCAGCACCTAGCGTTAAACCACCCAGAGTCTAGACCTGACTTAGCGTATCACGGAGTCACCCCACCACCCAGAGTCTAGACCTGGACTTTGCTTATCACTGAGTCCACCAACCACCCAGAGTCTAGACCTGACTTAGCTTATCACTGAGTCACCCACCACCCAGAGTCTAGACCTGACTTAGCTTATCACTGAGTCACCCAGCGCCTAGCGGTGAGCCACCCAGAGTCTAGACCTGACTTAGCTTATCACTGATCACCCACCACCCAGAGTCTAGACCTGACTTAGCTTATCACTGAGTCACCCACCGCCTAGCGGTGAAACACCCAGAGTCTAGACCTGACTTAGCTTATCACTGAGTCACCCAGCGCCTAGTGGTGAAACACCCAGAGTCTAGACCTGACTTAGCTTATCACTGAGTCACCCAGCGCCTAGCGGTGAGCCACCCAGAGTCTAGACCTGACTTAGCTTATCACTGAGTCACCCACCACCCAGAGTCTAGACCTGACTTAGCTTATCACTGAGTCACCCAGCGCCTAGCGGTGAAACACCCAGAGTCTAGACCTGACTTAGCTTATCACTGAGTCACCCAGCGCCTAGTGGTGAAACACCCAGAGTCTAGACCTGACTTAGCTTATCACTGAGTCACCCAGCGCCTAGCGGTGAGCCACCCAGAGTCTAGACCTGACTTAGCTTATCACTGAGTCACCCAGCGCCTAGCGGTAAACCACCCAGAGCCTAGACCTGGACTTAGCCTATCACCGAGTCACCCACCACCCAGAGTCTAGACCTGACTTAGCCTATCACCGAGTCACCCAGCGTCTAGCGGTGAACCACCCAGAGTCTAGGACTCGACTAATTCGCCCTCCGCGCCCCCCGCCCCCCGCTCCCCCACCCGCCCGCCCGCCCCCCGCGGCACCGGGACTCAGGGCACTCCGCACTTGCCGCTCTTCTCCCTGCGGTGGAAGCGGCGGAGGCGGCGTGCCCACGCGTCGCGCCACTGCACAATCACGCTGGCGCGGTCGGCCACCAGCGGGCCCTGCTGCTGCTGCTGCTGGGTGCGAAGGGGACCCTGCGAAGACCCCTGCGAGGGAGCCTCGGCAGGGGGGCCCGAGCCCCCCCCCGCCGGTGACGAGGTACTGAGCAGCAGCAGTAGGAGCGGCCCACTCGCAGCTTCTGGCAGCGGACGCCAGGTCCCTGCTGCGACCCACAGCCACTGCTGCGGATGCTGCTGCTGCTGCTGCTGTTGCTGCTGCTGTTGCTGCTGCTGCTGGTGACGCCGCTTGCCCTGTTTCTTGCCGCGCGCGCGCCGCCGGTTGTTGCCGTTGGCCGCCGCCGTTCCCCGCCGCCGTTGCCGCCACGAAGCCGCAACGTCGCCGCGTCGTGGTGGGCCGGTTGGGGCGGCGCCGGGGGGGCGGCCGCGGGGGGCCCCACGCCCGAAGGCCCCCCGCCCCACTTGAAGACGGAGCGGATCTCGGCGGTGAAGCGCGTCCACTCGCGCACCGCCGAGCGGGCTCACCAGGTGGAGGTGAAGCGCTGCGCAGGTGGGGGGGGGGGGGGGGTGCAGGGGGAGGGTTGCAGGGGGGGGGGTGCAGGGGGGGGGGGTGCAGGGGGGGGGCGTTAGAATCGTCGTGGTGGAGGTGGCTCGTCAGAGGCTGCCGAGTTCGAAGCCGGGCGCCAGACGCCGGTGGACGTGGGCTACACGAGTCGCTGACGCACGGGTGGGCAGTCACCCCGCTTGTCACTCTTCTCGCGCGACTGCTGTGGTTGCAGTGCCCGTGAGGGTCGCACGTTCATTCAGAAATCCAGACTCACCGTGTCGTCTCATCCACGCTGGTGTGCAACCACCACCACACTGCAGGTCACCCCACCCACTCCTCACCCACGTACTCACCCACCCACTCACCCACCCACTCACCCACTCACTCACCCACTCACCCACACACTGACCCACCCACCCACTCACCTACCGACCCACTCACCCACCTTCTCACCCACCCACATCACTCACAACACTTACTCACTCACCCACCCACTCATCCACACTCATCCACCCATTCATCCAAACGGCAGGTGTTCAACCACCACACTGCAGGTCACCCACCCACTCACCCACCCATTCAACCACTCACCCACTCACCCACCCACTCACCCACCCACTCACCCACCCACTCACCCACCCACTCACCCACTCACCCATCCACTCGCTAAAGATCCTGCGATGCAATGCGCAAACAGAGTCGGCCACGCGTGTTCCAAATCTGCCAAATTGCTACCAACGGTACCACCCGTGGGGGCGGGGAGTGAGGGGGTGGGGGGGGGGGGGCAAAGCTGCCGAGCGCGCAGGCGGTGCAACTGCACCGGGGCCCGAAGGGGGCGGGGGGCGGGGTTGTGAGGAGTGGGGGAATCTGGTGGCAGAGAAAATTGGACAGGGGACCGCCTCGACGATTATCACTGCCGGCATCGGTGCAGTTGCACCAGTTGCACCAGTTGCACCAGTTGCACCAGTTGCACCAGTTGCAACCTGTTGCACCAGTTGCACCAGTTGCACCAGTTGCACCAGTTGCACCAGTTGCACCAGTTTGCACCAGTTGCACCAGTGACGCCGGCGCTCACCGTAGTCCTTCTTGCAGTATTTCTGCAGCGTGATCTTCACTTTGCCCTTCGATGGCTTGCAGTAGACGTCACAGTCTAAGGGACACACACGGGAAGACACGCGGACTGAGCGCGCTGCTGCGTACACATGGCCGCCACGAGGGAGACAAAGGCGGCCGGGCGGGCCACCCACGCCGGCCCTTCGGAAGGGGCTCGCTAACAGCACTTGCCACAAAAGTTGGTTCAGGCTATACGGGCTGGGGGGGGGGGAATCTTTGTCTATGTGCAACCTTTACAATGACATACACACACACACACAGCCACACACACACACACGTGCGCGCGTGTGTGTGTGTGTGGCTGTGTCGCACCCTCACAATGGCACACACCCCACACACTACGCACAAAGGGTTCCCTTCAGCTTTTGCTGTCGGCTGAATAGCGGCCGCTGCCTATAAATCACGCGCCGTCTTCCTCTGCCTTTTTTTTACAGCCCCCTCCTCCTCCTCCCCTCCTACTCCTCCTCCCCTCTTCCTCTGTCCGTCCGTCCGATGCCGGGAGAGCGTCGCTCATCTCCCACCCACCCACCCACCTCCCCTCCCTCCCCTCCCCTCCCTCTCCATTCCTCGTCCCTCAATCTACATACAGTTCACACACATATAAACACATCGTCTGTGCGTGTGTGGCGGCAGTTGTACGGACGGGCGCGGAGGAGGAGTAGGCAAAGAGCGAGAGAGAGCTGGGAGGACGTGGTGGTGGTGGGGAGTTGGTGGGGGGGAGTTGGTGAGGGTGGTGGGGGGTGGGGGAGGTGGGGGGTGGGATGACGATCGCTCCACGTGGACAATGGGACACATTTTATCCGGGACACAATGTCCGGCCACAGAAAGCACCAACAACGAACCGTGGACTCGGGTACCTCTGCTGCCTCGCAGCAACGCCGCTCCCAGCCTACCCCCATGCACACCCCCCCCTTCTCCCCCACCCCCACACTGCTCCCTCCCTCCCACAAAACAAAACCTGACATCAACCCAAAGTCTAATTATTTGCAGACGCTGACAGATCACTAATTGAGCCAATCGCCCCCCTTTCAGAGGTCCGCTCACGCCTCTCCGCACGCTACGTGGCCTCTCTCGCCTGATTTCTGCCCCCACCTCCAACCCCTCCCCCCCCCCCTGTAATTCATAAAACTGTTAAAGGTGCAGCCCTGAAAGTGACTACTCCATGATGGGCACTTGCGAGCTTGATAGGGCGTCCGCTGGTCGGGGCTCATGGAATTGAATTGCCTCTTCCACGCGCGCGCCCAAGACGTCTTGCAAGAGGTGGACAGTCACCCGCATGTTTACCCCTCGCGACCTGCCCGGTTGATTTTACGCAACACGTAATTTTGTTTTTTGCTACTGCTATTCTGCTCCTGTTGCTGCTGCTGCTGCTGATGATGACGCTGATGACGATGATGCTGCTGCTGCTGCTAATGATCGTGATGATTGAGAATTAAAAAACCAAAACTTAGTACGCCTTTTGGCGTCATCTGGTCCAACACCAATAGAGACTAGGCTCTAAGAAAGCTGTCTCGGGTGTGGACCAATCAACTTCAAGGACAGTGCATATCATTATCATCATCAGCGTTGTTTTCTTTTTGTTTGCATTTTGACTGCTTGTGTTGTGGTTATTGCAAACATGATGCCTTGTATAAAGGTGTCAGTTTTTGTACCAGTTGAAAGGGTAAAAACCTATTACTAAACAAAAATTTCCCACACATTTGCAAGCAGGATCGATCATCCCGAACAGGCGTTCGTTGAGGCTTTGCTGGAAATCTCGGCGTTGTATGCACGCGTGGTGAACTTCTTTCGCACCGTACGTAGCCACCCGTGCTAATCGGAGGTGCAGGGGTATACACCCTTTCACAGCCGCGGGGGGCAGTCAGCGTCTATGAATAAAAGGTCATTTCCGGACAGATTTGGCCGGCACGCTACGTGACTTACACGGCCTATTTGTCTACGGTCTGAACGTCTTATGGACAGACAACTCTCATGAACAACAACGAACAAGCACGTGACCCTTTCGTCAATGGTAACAGTGTGCGGGACCCTGTTTAAAGATAACCGTGACCTTTAAACAAGGAAGAAAAACCACACGCGCGCACAGCTTCTGTCGCGTGTTCTTCCGAACACGGTGGCTAGGAGATGTTAACTACCTCGCCTGGTATACAGGAGGTCGTAGGGTTCGATCCCGACCCTGACGCCTGCTGCTGTATATTTGGAGTTTGCGTCTCTCTCTCATAATCATCACGGTGACTAGGAGATGTTAACTACCTCGCCTGGTATACAGGAGGTCGTGGGTTCCATCTCGACCCTGACGCCTGCTGCTGTATATTTGGAGTTTGCGCGTCTCTCTCTCATCATCATCACGGTGGCTAGGAGATGTTGACTTCGTCGCCTGGTATACAGGAGGTCGTGGGTTCGATCTCGACCCTGACGCCTGCTGCTGCTGTATATTTGGAGTTTGCGCGTCTCTCTTCCCGTGGTCGCGTCGATTTTTCTCCGCGTCTTCCGGTTTTTCCCCTCCACGTTGATTCTCCTCTTTCGGATTTATTTTTCGCCCTTAGAATGGACGCCACGCGTTTCGAGCATTTGGCTGCTCCACATTGCCACGTGGTAAGCCCACTTCGTCGAGTTAGCATGTTTGATAGTCAAGCTCGCTTCTGTAAAACAGCTGCGTAGCTCAGAGGGGCCTTACACCTGGTCGAATTGAGAAAAAAAGTCTAGTTTACTTTAGTAATTGTTTGGTAGTTTAGGTAGTTACATTCTAGATTTGAAGCTTTCGTGACTGCAAGGATTCATACTCTTAGGTTTTTTCGGTAAAGTCACGTAGATAAAAAATAAAATTAAAAGTTAATAATGGAAATGAAATAAAATAATCACGACGTTTCGGAGGCAACACAAGTCTCCCTCATCAGGTGGGACCGTAGTAATTTTAGCTGTGACGGTCCCACCTGATGACGGAGACTTGTGTTGCCTCCGAAACGTCGTGATTTATTATTTTATGTTATTTCCATTATTAACTTTTAATTTTATTTTTTACCTACGTGACTTTACCGAAACAACCTAAGAGTAGGTAGTTACAGTTGAGCGGTAGGCAAGCCGACCGGCACTTGGCTGTCGGGGCAAAGCAGAGCGGCGGGCGCGGCGTCGTTTCGCCGATGCGAAGCTTCGCCGTTCGATATTCCAGCCGCCCCCCCCCCCCCCCCCCCCCCCCCCCCCCCCCCCCGGTCACCGCCGCTTGCCGTGACGACCACGGCAAACGCCCACGCGCCGCCTGCGTCACAGTGGCCGTTCAAGATTCCCCTGACGTCACCAGCAGCAGTAGGCCGCTGCGTGCCGCGGCGGGAGTCAGGCTCCAATTGGGATTACACGCAGCAGTCAGCAGCAGTCAGCAGCAGTCAGCAGGAGCAGCAGCAACAGGAGCAGCAGCAGGAGCAGCAGCAGCATCAGGAGCAGCAGCAGCATCAGGAGCAGCAGCAGGAGCAGCAGCAGCAGGAGGAGCAACATCAGAGCAGCAGCAAGAGCAGCAGCAGCAGGAGCAGCAGCAGGAGCAGCAGGCAGCAGCAGGAGCAGCAGCAGGATCAGCAACATCAGGAGCAGCAACAGCAGGAGCAGCAGCAGCATCAGGAGCAGCAGCAGGAGCAGCAGCAGGAGCAGGAGCAGCAGCAACATCAAGAGCAGCAGCAGGAGCAGTAGCAGGCAGCAGCAGCAGCAGGAGCAGCAGCAGCAACAGGAGCAGCAGCAACAGCAGGAGCAGCAGCAGCAACAGGAGCAGCAGCAGTAGGAGCAGCAGCAGCAGCAGGAGCAGCAGCATCAGCAACAGGAGCAGCAGCATCAGGAGCAGCAGCAGTAGCAGCAGCAGCAACAGGAGCAGCAGCAGCAGCATCAGTAGCAGCAGCAGGAGCAGTAATTAATTGCTGCCGACTAGCAGACTAATGCCCGTTTACAGGCCAGGTGCCGAGTCGACTTGTACCACACAGGGACAGCTGTCACTGGGGGTGCCCTAGGCTAGACCACCGCACACGTCAACATTGAACGCCTAGTGGCAGACTAATGCCCGGAGAATGAATGAATGAACGGGTGACTGAGCGAGTGCGCGAACGAGCGTGGGGGGGATTGTTCATCGCTCAGCCGCGTTTTCTTCACCGGAGCTGCGAGCTCCTTCGTTCCTCTCGCTCTCCCGTAGTCCTCGGTTCTTTTTTTAAATCCTTTATATTAAGTTCGCTTGCTTGCTTGCTTAGGACCGTGCAAATCTTTCGGTCGTTTTTTAACCCACTTCCCGTGATCCAATCGAGCTGACATTTTGCACACAAACTCGTTGTTGCTTGACAATGCATTTTCGTGAAAAAACATTTCCAAAATTTACACTGATTAGGGTAAAATTGTAATATTTAATTACCAATTGTTTAATGCTGCCAGACAATCATCTGACCCATAGGTGGCAGCCATCTCAAGCCAGAGGACGAGAGGACTCTAGCCGCCCCGATGCCACGCATATGAAGGATTTATAGTGAAAAACTTTGTTTTTACGGGTTAATTTTTCTTCTAATCGCACGCATTGGAACGTGCGACGAAGCGTCGGCCGAGAATCGTGAAATTCCTGGACGGGTGGCCAAACGCGCGTCCACAGCTCTGCAACTTTGGTAAGTGCGTGGCGCGTGCATGCGGCTGGGTTGCGTGCGCGCGTGTGTGTGTGTGTCCGTGTGTGTGTCCGTGTGTGTGGGGAGCGGTGGTGTAGCGGTTAGCGCGCTGCGCTATGAACCTGGCGACCCGGGTTCGATTCCCGCTCACGGACAACACCCAGTGACAATTATCTGAACCGGTCCCGGGCCTCCCCTAGGTCGACTCAGCCTCAAATGAGTAACCTGGTGCGGTGTGTAAACATCGCCACCAGGGAGACAAAGGCGGTCGAGCGTGGTGCTGGCCACGCACCCCCTCGTTCGTGTACCGTTCCGGCCTTCATAAGTGCTCGCTAACAGCACTTGCCCCTACAGTCTGTTAAGGCTATACGGCGGATCTTTGTCTTTGTGTGTAGGTGTGTGTAGGTGTGTGTGT